TTTTAAGAACAGTTGATTATCAGTTGATATTCTTTACAGATAAAGAACTTACATATGAACAATAGCATTCGTGGATGACTCTTGTTTGTTGAGGAAATGCTTTTTTTAATTTTTTACTCATCCGTGACAATAGATAAGGTCAGTTGATTGAACAAATGCACTGGTGACCGACTATTATCGTCATAACTTACCCTTTATAATTCGAAGGTTCAAGCAGATCTTTACAATGATAATAATTACGATATTTTAAAGTATACATTTACACTGAGTAAACATCCTACAGAACTTTTATTAAATGATTCATTAAGGCAACTCTCTTATAAAATACTCAACATAAAATCACAATAATAATAATAATAATAATAATAAATGAATTTTGCTTATATAATTAAAGTAAATTATTGAATAAAATGCATTAAAGATATATAATCGTCTTCGTTTTTTAATTTTTATGTTTGAGTAAATATATTGTAATTTTTTTAAAAATAAATGTCACACTTTAACCTTGCATGCATGGCTTACAAGTTAAATCGCTGTAAAATTTTTTTTTTGCATATAGACCTATAATTTAGTAGAATAAGCGAAAAATTATATTATATTATTTTTAAGATTTTATTAAATTACTAGGATCCTTTTTATAAAAATCTTAAATTAAATTTAGAACATCTCCCGTTTATCAGATGTCAAACGTTTACTTTTAATGATATGCACCTCACATACAATATTAACGAACGGTCTATTCAAAGCGTTTGTGCATCAGGACATATAAATCATTGAAGCATCGTATAGGAGTTATTGGATTACATATGAATCAGTACAGAGAATTGTTTCGACGTTCCACCTTAATTTTGCATAGCAGAGGGTATGACATTTATCCTATTTGCTTAACGTGTGAGAGATGTTGATGATTATAAACACGATACAGATGTATACAGGCGCAATTAAGCTATGTGGAAATAATAGAATATATATGAAAATTACGGATATATAATTATTATATCCACGATTTTCATGTTTATCTGTTACAAGTGAATTAAATGTTTATAAAATTTCGTAATAAAATTATTATTGTAATAGATAGCAAAGATAATATAGTAAACATTTAGTTAGCAGTTATTGTGTTTTTACAAAAGACCCTATTAAGCTTATATAGTAAATAAATTAATTGAGAAATACACGCGCGTGATAACTAAACTATATTAATTGATAAATTTAATTAAAGCATAAAATACTTAACAAAAATGATCAAATTTATATTGAAATATGTGAAATTAGCGATTATATGATCTGAAATATATAAAAATATAGTGGAAAATTTTGTTAAGGCACATAACAATGACGCAGTCAATAGGCGCGACACGCGAGTGCAAAAATAATATACAACCGCATACAATCGTTATTATATTTTCGGCGATTTTTCTTAAATAAAAATATTTGTTTAAAAAAAAACGAAACATCACCCTCTATAGAAAAGTGCTAACAAAAAACCTGCAGTAGAGAAAGTGGGACATTGGCTGACGTCAGAACTGGCCTAGAATGCGTGACGTGACGGTATAATATACGCTTGGGCATCGTGACAATGTCCAGGATGGCGTATAACGCAGTCCAATTATAAAATAACGGCTAACGAAGACATTAATTATTATATTGGACTTATCGAAAAAATTTCGATATCAAAAAAGAACCACGGTACAAATATACATGTGTACGCTTCCGTAAACTGATATCGTACAACATAGCATTGTCTAGAATAGTTTAGAGTGTGACTATCTTTGTTAATCTATCAGCATTAAGTTGAATCGGAAATGCAACCGACCTTTACAACCGTTTTATTGACACGTTCTGTGCTATTCTTAGACAATCAATATCGGAGGACTTCGAAAATGGTTAAAGATAGAAGGCGTATTGTTCAGTTACGGAAATGACCCGATTTATTTTTTCTAAATGTGATGCCGTATGCGATTCTCCACAATTTCCCTCATCCTCTCCATAAAGATGCGATTTGCATCTTCTCATCTTTTAGCATAGCGTGAAACGTGTCTCGATGGCTTCGGCGCAACCTAAACTAGCGCAATGATAAATGTTCATTTTCTTTATAGAAATCCATTATTAATGTAGCTAAATCAATAATTTGAGTTTTAGATAACCGGAACGTATTATATATTTCGTTAGAGCGTGAAAAGAGTTTGCACTTTTCAGGATCCTACGTTAACTTGTGAAAGATTTGGAGTAGAAAGTGAAGAAATGTCGGATGTTAGTCTTTCTTTATCAAACTCATCTGACAAATAATAAGACCCACTTCTTATGGTCGAATAAGAGTGGGCGTATATGTAAAAGGTGTACCTTATGAGGTCACAGAGTCGTAAGTTCAATGTTGTCGGAAGTATAAACAAAGTAAAATTCTTATACTGTTTGAATAAAAATTGTTTATTGTTCTATATGGTTCGGAAGATTTTTTTTCTATGATGCTATTTCTAGAATTTAAAAAAATATATATTCGAAGAGAGAATATGCTCTTTGAATACTAAATATGGAGGAACTTTTTGTTCCTTGAGTAAAGAAAACGAGCATGCATTGTTAAGATTTATTCATGCTTTTAGATGTACGTATATGAAACTTATATATAAATTTATCAAGACATTTCCTATAATAAATGGCTATTTAAGCATAAAGCATTTTATTTTATGAGTTCTAACTTTTGATAAAAAAGAAAATCGTTTTACGATTTCAGTTTTTAGTTTATAGTTTACATGTTAGGTTTATATTAACTTTACATGCTTTATATAAATTAGATTTATTTATAATTTATCTATTTAACATGAGAAAAAATATGTAAATTTATATATTTTCTTTTTATAATGCAAAATTCACATAATTAGTAGTGGAGTGCCCATAAATGAGAATGGAATATTTAGGAATAAAAATTTGATATAGATTATAATATTATAATTAATAAAAGATGATAAAAATTTAATTTATAAAACTTTTTATTTTTAATTATTTTTGTTTATTTTTTAACTACATTTTTATTTGATAGAGACGTTTAATTGACTCTAAATAGCACAGACAATGAGTTAAAAATTTGATACTGCATAATTTTAATGTGAAGTTCCTATTAATAATACTTATTTAGGTATATAAATAAGGATTAATTTATGCATTTTATAAAATTAAAAAGTTCAAGTTCAGGCAAATAATATCAACAGAAAGGTTAAGAGTATCAAACTCAAGTCAAAAATAAAAACTAAGAGGCTCAGTACAGGATATCTTTATGTTTTTTTCTTATGAAAGATATCAAGTTCTGAGCTTTGATACCATTCGAATAATATAAAAAAACACATATATGCTGATAACTTTTTTACTAAAAGAAATGTCATAAGTATAGAGAAATGATCAGGAAGCACGGTAAATGAGAGTCTGTATTGAAAATATCCTTTCGTAGGAACTTCAGGAATTTTGATGAGTCATTAACGAGCCATTCAATTCTTTTTTCCTCGTAAAAAATGACTTAAAATAGCAAAATTTTTTCTAAATAAGATCTAAATAAAAGATCTAAAATGAAAAAAGAATCTTTTCACTCCTTCACAATTAAGTAGCGATCATTTTCTGTGTGTTTAAACTTTTTTTTCTGCCCTTCCTGAAAGGGCAAATGGTCATTTTAAGCGAATGAGATGCTTAAAATGAGGTGTTCATCCATGCCGATCCATTTTTTTCTTTGTTTTTTATTCCATTATATTGTTTATTCAACTGCGAAACAGGATGAAAACTCAGTCGTATGTCATATCGGAAAGTTTGACATCGATGATCACATCTAGACAATTAAAAAAAAGCGAGGTAAGATGTAACAAAAACAATCTTGATTGATATTAATAAAATAGAGTTTAATTATTTTTAATATTCAAAAAACTATGAAAGGCTCTTGTAATTCATTAAAATATATTCAGATGGCGCTGATAAAAGATTGAAAGTAAACAAATGCCATCCATAATAATTATTATTATTAAATTTTAAAGTTTAAATAAATATTTTTGTATAAAAATAAAGGAAATAAGAATGAATAAAATTTCTTAAAATTATTTTAAAAGTTTTCTAAAAAAGTAAGAATTTATAGACACTAGCAGTAGAAATTTTAACATTTTTAAATATCATGAGAAAGATAAAAAGTAGCTTTTTTTGCCAGTTTCTACCAATTTTAATTCGTAAATTTAATTTATTAAATATAAATTTTACGTATAAATTTCATGTAGAAAATAAAACTTTTGATATGCAATTTTCATCATTTATAATCTCATTGCGCAAAGATTAAACGTTAAATTTATATTTCTCGGTAATTAAGGTAATCGGTACATTGGCTCATCATCCCAGATCAGAAATAACTTTTCCAGGATCGGTGACGTCACGGATTTTATTTATTTATTTACTTTTAATTCGCTTCTAATTTAGTCTCATAAAAAGCCGATTAATTTCTTAATTCTTAATTCCTCGATTTAAATTACTTATATATTAATTTTATAATAGCAAATAGGGATTTAATTAAAAAAAAATTTAATTACGATAAAAAAATTATGCGCTTCTTACGTCATCGAACCGGAACCAAAATGCGATTTCCGGTCATGCGTATAAAAATACTTTTAAATCTTTGGTGCAAAGCGCCATCTACCGATTAAGATTTAAAATTTTACAATTGTTATTTAAAGGGGGTTAAATTATTTAATTTTTACAGCCTTTTATTGTCGATTTTAATGATTATTTTCTAAATTTAAGAAATAAGTATTAAGAAATCGATTTTGAATATAATTTCGGAGGAAATGGAATTTTTAAAAATGTTTTAAAAAGAGTTATGGATATATAAAAATTCTGCCCACAATCCATTGCGCTCGAGATGATCCAATCACTTTTATCGACGTAAGGGCGCGTGCCGTAACTGATACATTCTCACTGTTGTCATGGTAACTGTTGTGAGCATGCGCAGACGCGACCGGACTGTGGCAGATGCAGAAGTCCAGTCAAATATCAAGTTATGCTTGACATCAGATGGATTTCGACCAAGAGTTGAAGAAAATCGTTCGCGAATGCACCTAAGAGGTGTTTGTATTGAAGTGTATGTGGTGTACATCCATTTATATCCTGTCGTGATGTCAATATGCCAGGAGGACGAAGAGGATTGGTTGCTCCACAGAACACCTTTCTCGAGAATATTTTGCGACGATATAATTCTTTACGTAAGTATATTTTTAATATTCAAAAATGTTATATAAACACCGAAATTCTCTGAAACGCGCGAGTTTTTGTGGGGTGTAACCTTTCTAACGCATCAACTTTTGCAGTTGGATGGCTGATAGCTTTGCAAAGTGCACTAGCACCTTTCCATCTTATCAACTTCTCTATCAATCCTATCTATTTTTTCAGTAGGCATTACACAAAAATATTTAAGATTTACGTACAAATTCGGATTGTAAATATGCTTAAAATTGCTCACCTTCCAAGAATATCATTGATTTAAGATGTAGGAAAGGAAGATCTTTGCTTGCAATCCCTAAAGATCTACTAATAAAGTTATAGCTATTCCAATTAAGGACGGTTTTATCTTTAAATTATTTATAAAATAAGAAGAGTCTCTTAAAATCTTTGCTCAAAACTTAATTAAAGCTCTTGTTTCCAAGGAAGTAATCTTATTTAATGTGTTTAACACATCTAATACACAAAATTTTAAGTGATGATTGCTTATCTCAACCACTTAACAGTAGGCCAGATGATAAATGATCATCATTTTGACCTAATTAAAATGCTATTCTTAAAAATTCCTGTACGTGCGAACTACTTAAATTGTAATAAAAAGAAAAACATCATCTCTATTAGATTGAATGCAATAACTATATAAGAATTATGAAGATACGATAATGAAATAGCATCAGTTTGAAGAGAAGAAAATTATAAAAGTGAAACAATTGGAATTTTTTTTCTCGTGGGAGAATAATCAGATGACATAAAAAAATTCTCATAAAATCATAGAAAAATGTGCTTTTTACGAAAATAATTTCAATCAAATCATCTGTAGCGTTTTAAGTCAATAAGTATTAATGCTCTTTGATGATTTCTGTGTTTAAGATGGAGAAAAAATTGTGATTTTTATGAAGGAAATTCAACAAATATTTTAAAAAATTGAATTTTTATGATATTGGAATAGTCAAATAGTCTTTGTTGTGCTGTTTATGATTTTTTAGATGTAAAAAAGATGATAAAAATTTTATAGTAGATCCAGATGTCTGATATTCCAAGTGAAAATATGTTTTCTGAACTTTCTTTACGTTTATATTTTATATGTACAATATATATACATATATGAATTTTGTCAATCATTCTAAGAAAGAAAAATGTGGCATTCCAAATATTTCTTTTATTGACTTTTTATCAAAAGAGCAATTTATCATTTAAAATTTACAAAAATATTTCATGCTTATAAGTTTTTTAGGCAATTTTTATATATTAATTTTACAAGAGAATTAATTGGACTTGGAAAGTTTGATCTGTTACCGATTATTCAATAACATGCAGACATTATTAAATTTTTTACTTTTAATCTGATGATTTTTGATGATTAAAAGTGTTTGATATAGCATTATCTAGTTCCATTATGAAATTTTTTGCATTTTCTCTTTGATTTTAAATAAGAAAATCAAGTTTCTCTTGTCAGATATTAAATAACAACATATGAAAAGTTTTATAAATAACTTACGAAGAAGACTTTATTATAAAATAATTTGTAATAATTTAATTGATAAATATTATCTTTATCGTCATAAATAGTCTTATACAGTATACGGAATTTGCCTGTACTGTAAAATATATCAAAGACATTTTGCATTATCAGGATAATGCAGAATTGTTAAAATTTCCAAATATAAATAGGAAGATGTCATCACGTTTTCTGTTTTTCTAAAGGTTTTTTAAACAAAAAATGGAATTAATTTTGTCGACCGTGACTTTCTACTAATGGAATTGAAATTGAAAAGAGAAGCTTGATTTATTTTCTTTAAAAAATCGTATATTGTGAATATACAGAAGTAAAACCTTCCATGTTTAAATGTACATGCTAAAATATATAAAGTGAAAAAGTTAAAAAAAGTTTTCATTAACTTATTAACATCCGCCCAGAATCAATTTTGAAAAGTCGATTAACAATTTAAAAAGTCTGTTAAAGACAATGAACTCGGTTAATGCATTCTTTCATCTTCAAAATTACAGTATTTGATATAATTATATATTATACCGTTAGAATAATTAGTAAAATAGCTCTTAATTTTCTTCATTCTTTCATTTTTCTGATTTTAATCACTTTGTCTAATTTAGAATTCTTATTGGGTAATTTGTGAATTTAGAATACATTTTTTTTCTGATTTTTGTGTTAAATCGAATTTTAAAACCAATAAAAATTATTGGTAATTCATTAAATAATACAAATTTTTAAATGATTATAAAATTGATTTAAAGTGACTTTTTTTAATTAATGAAAATTAATTTTTCTCGTTTATATTCTATTATCTTCTACGAGGAATTTATAAAATTATCATAAATTATAATTAACTAAGAAAAGATTTAATGTAGTTAATTATCTTTGCCTTATCAATATTTATCTTTATGTAAAATCATTTTTCTTTTATAATACTAAAATTAAAATAAATATTGAAATTAGTATATATATAAATTTAATCAAATGAAACAGTATTTCATTCTAAAGATTTACGTAAATGGGATTAACATAATTAAAATTTATGTATAAAATAATTCAGATAACAGATAATAGTATCTTTTTAGACAAAATTCCCCCGTAAGAACAAGTTCATAATTAAATTAAAAGGTAAAATATAAAATGAATCACTAAAATACAGCTTAGAATGGCAGCTATTGAAAACATCTTTATGTAGAATTACATGTAATGTTGTTAATTTTGTACAAAAGATTTATAAACTGTATAAATACAAAATGAGACAAATTATTGCTTTTAATAGATTATTTGATTGATTACGATGCTCTCGTTCTTGAATCGATAGCTAATTCTTACATTTATACTTAAAATTGCATAAATTTATATTTTATATGTTAATAATAGAGTATTTAGAATAAAAAATATTTTATCTTTTCGAATGGGTGGAGTAAGAAGTCTCACTAATGCCAGACTGTCTAGGAATTCGATATTTGATCTATAAAATATCAATAGAAACTTTTCTGTTATAAAAACATTGTATAAAAATTTATATCCTCGAATACAATGTACTTCATTTGATTCTCCCTATTTATTTTTTAATTAAAACAAGAACACGATAAAGAAATGTCGAAAAGCATTGTTAAAATTATAATATATATATTATATATAGAAAAAATATCTGTAAAATTCCACATTAACCACACAAAAAGACGATATTTCCTGTAAAGGTAGCTATCTTGCATACCTATTTTACTTGCCGTAAAGATACATTTACAGGAGCTAAGCATAGCGCTTTATTATTTATTTATATCGATGTCAATTAGATGTTAAAGTAACACAACTTTTTTTTTAATAAATGCAAAATAAATTTAAAAATTATATTTTTTTGTCCGTAGTATTACATTTAATACTATATAATTTTGAATAGTATATTTTTTTCTTCGATAGGATAATACAGCCGCGTACTAAAACCAAACTACTAGATCATGTTTGACGTTATAAAACTACACGATGATATTTACGGACTGTATAGATGCAACCGCTTTGTTTAAAATGATAATTTTTTCTCACTTGACATATTCGAGTCGTTGCACGAAAAGTTCTTAAATTATCGTGAAGCGAATTAAAATTCGTTGATCGTAATTGGTTAGTTGGAATCAAACACAAATATCGATTTAATTAATCATTTAGTTTAGAAATCATATTTTGAACACGTTTAATAGAAAACCGTTATATCGATTCGTAGTTAAAGATAATTGTAAGTAATTTGATAATTGATGGTTATAAATATAAATATTTTTCATTTCTTGAAAAACAATTAATATTGTGTGGCATTTTGTATAAATGAATAATTTCTATCGTTTTTCTTGGAAAATTGATTCGGGAATATTTTTAAATCGTATATTTTATGTAATTTTTATATTTAATTAAAAGTTTTTTAGTGTATAAGATGCATATTTAATGTCGAGATTTTCTTCTCTCGGTTTAATTTTTACGGCAATGTTGTTCTTAATTTAATTTAGAAATTTTGCACCGTAAACTTAACTACAATTTTCGGTTTAATATAAAAATATTTTCTTTTTTTATTTAAATTGTTATTTTTTATATTATGAAAACTTATATTTCTTAAATAAAACCGATCCGTCTTTATTCGAAAAGGAAAATTCAATATGAAAATATTTATTTAGTTCAGCTGATTCCATCCTCTAAATGCCATCGATCCGGTTCAATAATTTAGAAAAGAATAAACCAATTTCGAATTTCCATTTCAGAAATTCTGATACTTTCTCCTATTACATATGCAGCAAAACAGACTAAGATGTGGCAAAGAGCCAAAAGAATAGAACAATGATTTCAGTTTTCCCATAAAGAAACATACAAATCTTATCTCTTATTTCTCATATCAATATTTTCTATAAGTTACTTTAACAAATAATTGAGTTAAAATTTATATTATTATATGTCGTTTAACTTCAGACTATGATTGACACCATTAAAAGATTAGAATTGTAAATATTTTGGTTAAAATGTTTCTAAAATATATAAAAATAAGTAATGTTCTTTAGTTAGATTGCGTGTTAATAGTTCAACAAAAGACACTTCACTCCAGATGATAAATATTTGTTTATATCTTTTAATGGCAAAGTAAGAGTGGTGAATAATTTGAGAAAACATTTATTCATTAATTAAATATTTTGGTAATTTTAGCACAAATTAATTAATGATGAAGGCGTAAATATTTATTTAACATTTATATCGTTATCAAATAATTTAGATAATACTGTTTAAATTTTAAACAAATATATTAAAAAGTAGAAACATTTTAAATAAATTTTTTTAAAATAGTTTTTATATTTAAACGACTATTTTTTAATGCAAAAATTTAGAAAAATAAATGGCTAAAAATGTATTCAGAAGTAGTTATTCCTTTCTTTAAACATTGCAATAAATAATTATTTTAAAATACAATTATAAATATATCAATGATTTCAAATGACGAATTTTTTTAATAAGAAA